ACCCTGGTATGACTGGAAATTTGATTGAAATCAAATTCAGTGGTATCACCCTCCCCTACGCTGTGGTACTTTTCTTCTCACCTGTGATCTTACGTCACAGCTTTTACAGATAGCTGTAACACAATGATCTTGTGTTGCGCAACAAGCCTTTCAGCAAGAATACCAGATTTCCAAGTAATGGATGTTACAGTTGCAATTCAGCACAGATGTCAATCTTGTCACCTATGTTCGCTTCAAAAGCCAAAAAGAATGAATGAATTATTTACAGGCATTCAGTTGTTCACACCTTGATTATAATCATGATTGTAGGAGAAAAGCAGAACACACAGCAACCTTTCTACTAACAACTTTAACATTAAACATTTTCTAATTTCTATTTTTGAAAACAGCAGCACGTGTCTCCCAATGCAATTAGCTACAGAATCCGAAATGTGTTTATTTTTTAGATTTAACTCTGAGACAGAGCCTTACTTTGGGAAACTTTGCAAGGCTCGTAGACTATACATATGTAACGTGCTGAATCATGATTAAGTCATCCATTTCACAACCCAAATACCAAAACCTCTCTGATGTGTGAGGAGGTTCAGTGTGTCTGGTGATAAACTCCTGACCCTTTGGGAAACACAGCTTGAGTTAGCCTGTGGGGTCCAGACAGAGAAAGTTTCTACTGTTGCCAGCTTTATCTTTCAACACTGAGTTTGCCTTTGATAGTTAACAAATGAATGGATTTTTTTTGCATAGAAACGCTAAAGAGCTTTTAATCTGAAATGCATACATTTTATAATTTTTGTCTGTGACACATTCTACAGATATAGCATTGGAAACTGTAATGAAAGGTGTATATGTTGCAGGTATAATGTCAATATGACTATGAAGAGATCCTTTTCCTTGTCTGTTTTTTGCAAACAGATGTGCACTGCTCGCAGACAAAATAAGTGAGACCTCGACTCTGTAGAGGACTTTTGTTGCAGCCACGCCAGAGAAGCAAAAATGCACTCTTTGATATTCCTGTAGTAGATAAAATATGATAAGTGCCCTCTAGGGTGCAGTTTCATCACAAAGGCATCACAACTTTCATTTTTTTCATTCTCCAAATAAGGACATAAATATAAGGCAATGGCTTGGGGAGATGCCATGTAGAGACTTGTGGGTGTATAACATTTCCAGTAAAGACACCCTTATATCAACTTGGAATTACTGGGAATACGGATTAGGGATAAGCATTTCCCAAAGAAAATGACCAATTTAGAACGCATAAATGCATGTTAAAACACAGTTCTCCACAAAAGTTCAAATTTAAAAGTGCTCGGTGTAATCCTGTACTGTCTTTTTGAACAATATGTTGCAAGTTTCTATGGAAAAAATATTATCAATGAGGGGGACAGCAGTTAATACTGAGTGGTCCAAATGCATCAGCCCCAAATACCCCCCTCCTCTGTTTGGTCCAAGTGCTCCCTACTTGTCATCAACTTACCTCTCTAGTCTGAGTTCCCTGTGGTTAGCCACCCACGTGCCTCTTTGGGCTGCTCAATTGCTCTCTGGTCAGTGTAAATAACCCTCCAAGAGCCCATTTGGTTAGCACAAGCGCTCCCCAAGTGCCATTTTGATTTTCCCAAGTGACTCAGCTCAGGTAACCTCCAGCGTCCATCTGATTGACCAAAGCACGGTCAGGTTCCCTTTGGTCAGTCCCCAAATGTAACTGAATGGGCAGTGCCTCCCACCTGATTCTAGCACACCGTGTGTCAGGTGCCCCTTTGGTGAACCCTCAAGCACCCACAAGAGCCACTGCAGAGTCACAGTGAGGATCATCGTGTTCTTTGATTTCTCCTATGCCTTTAACACCATACAGCCTCTGCTGTTGGGAGACAAGCGCTGTGTCATGCAGGTGTTTCCTGGATAACGGATCAATTGATAGGACTAACCCTTGTCTCCAGGAGAGGATGTCATGGTGATTCACTCCTATAAATACCTCAGAGTGCAGATGGACAACAGGCCTGAGTCGGCTGTTAAAACAAAGGCCTTGAATGCTTTTTTTTCTCACTCATTCTGATACAATAAACTCTACAATGAAGGCTACTAAAGGAGGATTACAGGATAACCATAACTGTAAACATGGGAAAATAAACACAATAAATACTTACATTCTGGCTAAAACCGCATGAAGCAAGACACAAAACAACAACACAAAAACCCCACAAAACATGATGAGCCACAGTTTCCTGGAATTGTGATAAGTGCAAACATTTGGATTATCTTCTGTACAAATTTCACAGGGCTGTTAATGTCACTATTTGACGTTGTAAATGTTCATTATATTCTCTTTAAGTCTCAGTAGGACATCTAGTGGTTTGCAGTGGTAATGCAACAGGATGTCAGTTTCACAACAGAATCTATTGTGTAATGGTGCTTTCCTCTTTTGGTTTGTTTTTATGTGGTGTGAAACAGCAGCACATGAAATTGAGGAACTGGCTACTTTAGCAGAGAGTAAACAATATAAGGGTAATGGCTATGACTTAAGGATCCCGTCCTTTTCCTTTTTTT